AATATAAATAATTTTTATTTCAAAGATAACTTATTTAAAAGATCAAGAATTTCAGCCTCACTAAGGCTCATTAGAAGTATATACGGCTGACTTAAAGAGGCCACAATTTCTTAGTCTTTTCCTCCAAACTACATTCAAAGTACTACAGCCTATATGAAACTTAACCACCTCTCTTCCTACAAAGATTATACTAGCTACTAGTCTTATTATTTTCTATTTTTTAATTTTTTTCCTTCACTATAATATTTTTAAAAAAAATCCAATTTTCATATGAACCTTGTATGGCCTTTAAATCGTGCTCTATTTCTTCATAATCACTCCTAAGATTGTAAAACTCATTTTTACCAAAGTCTTGAATTTTTCTTTAAAAATTCCTAAATAATTATAAATAAAATTTTAAATAGGCTATAAAAATTATTTTAATATTTTTTATTATTAATAATAATTTATTAATAAAAAATTATTATTTTTTTATAATAATAAATTTAATTTAAAATAATTATATATCATATTTTTTATATAAATAATTAAAAAGATATTAGGTTATTTTTTATGTTTCTTCTAACTATTAACTAATATTTATAAGTATTTAAGACTATATATTAACAATTCTACCAATTAAGTTTCATTGGTAGGATTCACATATAGCAAATATGTATTTCAATTTAAAAGAATAGAAAGAACTTTATTCTTGCCCTTCATATGATTTACAAAAAAAGAATAGAAAAAATTATAAAATATATACTATAATCTAATAAAAAAATAGAATATAAAAAATTAACAAAAAAAAAAACTTTGACTTTGACTTAAAAAATAAAAATAAATGAATATTTGTGTTTGACTCAACATATTTTAATATGTAACTACATCTTATATAGTCACTAGCTTAATATTAAATAGCAGCTATATTTCTATTAAGATTTGAATTGGAAACTACATAATTATAAATTCCTAACAACTTAATCTAATTCTATGAACCACATTGGAGATGACCATGAAATAAAGAAAATAATATGTAATAATATTTTTTGCCTTTGCCTTAACTCTAGTCTCATAATTTACTAAAGATAAAATTAATCTATAAGTTTAATTTAGAACCACTATAAAAATAATTGACTATATTATTGTAGTAATCAATATTTATACCTTATATTCTTTACAATGACTTTTATTAGTTTATATAAAAAATTCTTTTCCATCTAATATTTTGAGTTGGAATAAATTATTATCAAAGACTTCTTTGATAACATATGGTTATGTGCAAAGTGCATTAAACTAAGCTAAAAATTATAATTTTTTAGCATCTTAGACCATCATCCACATTTCTAGGTTAATATTTGTTTTTTCTAGATGTTGTTTCCAAAATCTGGCTTAAAACTGCATTAAAGAAGGCCCAAGAAGTTGAGCATAACCAAGAGACCAAATTCATAATTAAATAATTAGACAAAAATTACAGATGTAACATTGTCAAGAATTGGATAGAATTACATACAAATGAAGTTAAGTTAGGATTTACATGAAGTTAGGTGAGAATTTAAATAAAATTATGGTTATATAAAAAAATTAAAGATAAAATATTAATAAAGAATGAAATTTTATTTATAGATGAAAATTTGTAAAAAATAAATAATATTGTATAGAATTTTTTTTATTAAATTCTTTATTTAATTAAATTATATTTAAAAAATTATTATTATTATTCTATTAAAGTAAAAAAAATAATTAATAAAAATGCTGAAATATGATAAATATTTGTAAAGAATAGTAAGCTACTAACTATAATGGTGTTATTTTAATTCATACTTTATCCATAACTACATACTATTATTTTAAATTTTATTATTTTAAATAAAGGTAGTTGATTTTAATAAAATTTTCTCTTAATATTTATTTCTAATCTTCTATTAAATTGAATCTCTTTTAAGTTATAGTATTTATTTAAATCAAGAAATTTCAAAAGTTACAATTGCAATAGCTTAAATTTCTTCAAATTTCTAATTTAGTATTTGTGGAGCTATTATAAATATTAAAATCAAAAATATTTCTAATTGAAATAGATTTAATTTAGAAATGGTTTAAACTATTATGAAGTATATTATTCTTAATGCTTTCTATATTAATTACCTTCTTATAAAAGTAATTTTTTGATTTTGTTTTTGAAATATTAGATCTTTAATTACGTAAAAAACCTAAAAATTTGTACTTATACATAAAAAAATTGATTAAATAAAAATTACTTTGTATTAAATAGAATTTTGAAAAAATTAAAACTTAAGCCAATTTTTCTTTATTTTGATTATGTTAATATTGATATATTTTGATAGGCTTCTCAAATAATTTGATACAACTTCTCAAAATTTTGTAAAATCACATCCTAACGAAAATTCCAAGAGACAATACTATTCATGTCATCTTTTAAAAAAAGTATGTTCCACTTCAGCTTTTCCTTTTATAACTTTGGACCAATTTTCATAGATATAAAGCTAGCCAAGTGAAGCTTCTTAATTTGAGATAATCAAAACTTTTAAAGGTTGTTGCTTCTTACTTAGCTTCCTACTTTCTTCCTTAAGCCTAAACTCTCCTTAGCATCTGCATTTAATATTCTGTGTTGTGGAATAGTATTTAATGATGATGTAAATGCACATTCTGTTAATAGCTCTTATCAGCAATAAGGACTGTAAAGTGATGTATTTTACAGTGTCACACTTCTCTCCATATAAAACTTAAGGCGCTGTTAATTTTTTAAGATTGGCTACAAAATTTCTACTTGTAAAGCCTTTTATATTTTGTTTCAAAAAAAAAGAAAAAAAGAAAAAAGAATCTCCTTTCTTCCTGGTTGTCCTTTGGAGTTTGCTGTGATTCCATGGATGCTTGGAGTCCACAACGTGCAGAACGAGGCCATCATTTCACTGGACTGGACATGAATCAAATCACCCTAACTACTGTTGCTTCTATTTGGCTTAACATATGGAATTCGCCTTCTCACTGTATTATATCAACATCAACGATGGTCAGTACTTTTCAGCTATGGATGCTAAGGACAGCCCTGATTTGTGATCAGGTCGAAACCCAAACCCTCACAAATCCATCCCAGTTATAGTAGAAAGCTTCAGGCTCATTCATGGTCACAAGGGAAATGAACAGAAACTAATAGCAATGCATCTTCCAATTCAGTAGAAAAGCTCTTAAGGAACTTCCTATGCGGATCTTTCAAACCAGGTGGTCTTATGGGTGGTCGACTGCTTGGTTTATAATATCATTTCGATCATAGATGACTATATCACCGCATGCAATTCATTTGATATGCCTATGCTGCTGGCTGCTGTGTCTAGCCATAAGTTCTGAGAAAAAGATCCACATGGGCATTCAGAAAATCAGCTGCATGATGAGCCACATTTTGCGCATGAACAAGCACAATAATGCACCGGCCTCCGACCTCCGAAGGTCCTCATCACTCACGACCAGAGACCGACTTCAAGCAACTAATTGCAACCCTGGCATGTGGAACTCTGCTGAGTTTTTTGCGCTCTCCATAAAACACTTGTATCTTGCTTTACCAAAGCTTGTATTCAACCTGTAAAGTGAATAAGTAATTTATGCAGTCCCAGGGAAAAAGGTCACTGCTGCAGGCTCTTAAAAGGGCTGAATTGTTCACTTCCTCTGATCCAGCAGGAATATTTAAGCCGAAGAGAATATGGCCCAGGTACGGTAGAAACCTTGGAAGCATCCATCCCAATGGGAACGTTTCATAGCTCAAAGGTATTCAGCTTTTACATGTGGGCTATAACTCGCTGCTTCGTCAGAAAAAAGCTATTGTATGATTGTCTGACCTGAGGCTTCCCTGTAATGACAGACCGCACATATTTGACTTGCAGGCACTATCATCCGCAATGAGAAGCTCGGCAAGCTCAGGTGACCTTGGCTATCTGGGTACATGGGTGCATGGTAGCTGCTGCAAGAGGTGACAAAGATTCCAATTTCTAAATTTATTAGCCTTTGAAAGTTAACGAAATAAAAATCTCAATGATTATAAGGGCAAGTTGCAGTCACAAGACGTACACGGTGCTCAGAAACTTTCCAGGTTTCCCGTTTCACTTGTTTCGATCATATTTGTTTCAGTCCTCATTTGCAATTGCTTTTGTCCTATTTTGGCTCGAGTTTTCTCTCAAAACAAGGCATCGTGTGAGCCATGATTGTACGTATACTAGCGGTTTCCTTGTGTACCGGCTTGAGATACTTTCTTGATTCATCTCCTGAAAATCCTTCACTGACTCACATGCGCTGTTGTCAGTTGACTTTACCGCTTAACTGGTTAGCCTTCATCAGGATACTTGAGATAAATAATTTCATCAGTTCTTCTCGTTTGTAAAGAGAATGTTGCTGGTGATGTATGGCACTTCAGATTAGAACAGCTGAGAACTCATGAGGACACTCAGAAAAATTGATGACAACTGAGTCATTGTTCTGCAATTTTTCAAGGATCATAGCTGCAAAGTGGCTGTGCAGGGCCTGGTCGAGTCTTAGTCATCGGAAGTGCTCATGGGTATCTCTAAGGAGGATAGACAAGAGAAATGAAACAAATCTTCAAAGAAACATGTGATGGAGTGATGATCGAATCATAGGTGCAAGTCTAATCATTTTTCCCATTAAATGCTGTTATCGTGATTGATCATGCAGTGGTGCAGTAAGTTTTTTTGTTGTAACTTTAAGCCTCCATGGATGTGGTAATATATCACATGCATTTCTTTCCATGGGAGTATCTACAAGAAAATTTGTTGATCCTGGAAATTCATGACCAGCTCTAAATCCTAAGTATCCACTTTGGCACAGTGAATACGCCCATATCACCCTATTTACATGATGTTTATTCCTCTTCCCATGTAAAATATCTTTGCACTCTGAGTAAACCAATGCATAACAATTTTACAGGTTATGTAGTGTGAAGTTGCAATCGACATATGATAATAGTGTGTATCAATCCACAGAGAAGTTCAACGATAATTAGTGAAGCGGTCTGTTAAAACTTGGAAAACCCTCTAAATATTATGTACAAATCATCTAATCAATAGTCTCACTTATCCATCGATCGGAACCGTCTTAGGGGACACGACGTAATATGCTCAACACTCAGCCTTGTGTCTAACGATTGTACACAATCCGCAGGTGCTCAAGTGGATCACTTCTATGAAAAGAATCATCATTGACATTGACATTGTCAGAAATATGTAATTTCCTATACGACTTCGAACCTGCAATTCAACATCTACGGGTGGCTATTTCTCATGGCTGACTTCAACCTTCTCCTCTATTGCTTATTGCTATCCCCCATCGCTTATTATTTCAGACCGATAGCCCAATATTAAGGGCTTTTTCTTTACCTGTATGTTGAATGAACACCAAACAGCAATAAATAGAATGCTAACCTACTGCTATTGTCACGAGTGTAGATTCAAGATCAATGATACACTCCGAGATATTTCCAGATTAGTAGTACTTTATTTGTTGTGCAATCTGTACCTGGCAGATGAAATTGGAGTTGAAACTCAGATTGTGCAGATGACGATTGTCAAGGTCGAAAAAGTCCTTCTAGATAACCATTTCTAACTTCAAATTTGATCAAGAACTGCAGCCATCCGTTGAAGCTCGGGAGACATGGGGGCAATAAGCTGAGCTTCAGAAGGGTCATACATCTCTTGACCACTCTGGTGTATATTCTGCCAGTTCATAGAGACACGAGAATTACTGAACGGTTGCTCCTCTTGTGCAACTTCCTCATCAGGTGCATATTGCACCTTCACCTGCCGATCAGAATAAGCTTGTTCATTCCCATGAGGGGCCGTAGCCAAGTTCAATGCTGGCTCAGCCATAGGGATGATCTCACCACTGCACCATTTCATCATTGTGTCGCCGTCGGACTGGTCCAGGGAAAACCCACCGCTGTGGTCACTGCATGTCTCATCAACCGAAACCACAGTACTTTGGTTGATCTTGCAAGGGCGAGCCAACATTAACTGATTCTGCTCGACCGCGTCAGGCTTCTCCACAAGTCCACCGGCCCAGAGCATAGTGGACGTCTCAAACAAGCTTCCTGGGATGCTAATCTCGGTGTTGTTGCTGGTACTGCTGCTGGCGCAGCTGCTGCCTCGGTCCCAATGATACTGCAGCTCGTGCCGTCCAGCTGCTGCAATCTCATCGGAGCTAAAAGATTTCTCACCTTCAACATGAGTTCCCTTAAAGTTGATAGTTCTGATGGACCCAGGGTATGGTGTGTCAATACTTGTACAAATTCCAGGAGCCCGTGGACAGATGTTCTGGGTTGAAATCGAGCCAGACTGCGGCAAATGAAAACTGGCTGTCATGGAGCTCAAGTCTCCCTTGTCCACTACTTGGGCCATTCGAGAACTAGATGTGAAGGTGTCCAGCCTCATCTCAACCTTGGGAATCTTGTCCTGAGTGCTAGAGCCCTTCTGGTCGCCAAAGGATTTAAAGTAGTGCTGCGAATGCTGCAACATTTGCTGTAACCCATTGGACATGCTCCCCTGCACAAGACCTTGAGAACTCCTTTCTGAGCCTTGCAACAACCAGAAAACAGGATTGTAAGCTGCAGGTACTACCGTGGCGGGTTCGGGCTTGACACCGTCCTGTTGAAGGTCATTGTCTTGACCAGGTAAAGGTAAGCTGCTGGAATTGATTGACCCACTGTCGAAAGGAGAGGAAACGTGTCCAGTTTGAGTGGTCAGGAGTGGCACCGTGGGCGACAACTGCGTTCCATTATATTCTCCACTCAATCGCAGCCGCTCGAGAAGATTATCCGTTGAAAGAGGAAATGTATTCTTACAGCTGCCAAGGGAGCTGTTAGATTTCAGAAACTCAAGATAATTTCGGTGATCATCGAGAGAGCCATTGGGACTTGAGTGAGGATTTCTGGTTGGATTGTACAACCCGTCGGACTCCATGTTACTTGAGGAAAACATGCGGGGGGATTGGAGTTTGAACTCATGGATGGGAAACCTTACTAGTCCGGCTGCTTGAGAAGGGCACTGCGAGGATGGAGCTCCAGTCAGGAGAGACGAAGTGTTGAAAGGTCCTTCAAGAGATGGATCCATTCTAGAAGAACCTCCTAGATTTTTATGTGAATCTCCAGTCGCCAGTTTGTGTGTATTGGGATCAATACCGATGTTGCGTAACTTCTTCTTAATACAGGAATTCCAGAAGTTCTTTATTTCGTTGTCAGTGCGACCGGGAAGCTGCGTCGCAATCTGCGACCATCTGCAGTGTGCAGGAAAAGGAAAAAAATTACTCAATGTCTCATTGCTCAAGATTAGGCTGAAATTAATAGAAGAAAAGTCTGGAAAATCTCAATTTCTAGCCTTCATGATATACTGCAGGTTTATCTTTAAAATAAGGAAAATCGACCCACAGAGAATAGAGATGTTTTAATTTTATGCACAAACCAGAAGTTGAACGTTTAAAAATTGGGTCAAGATATAAAGACCTGTTACCAAGAACAGCATGAAGATCGATGATCAGATTCTCCTCCGCTGGAGAGAAGACACCTCGCTTTAAGTCGGGCCTCAGATAATTTATCCACCTTAACCTGCAGCTCTTCCCACATCGCTGTAATCCTGTTGTTCCGTAGCACACAAGTGTAAGAGCTAGATCACCCAATCCAACACTATTGCCATGCGAGGAGCAACTTTAACTTCTTCCGAACAAATGAAGCGAGATAGGGACGAGATCGTGAGCCATTCATGTCTAAATGCCTGTCTGGAAAACACTGCGCCTCAATGTGCTCTTACACCACTCAACTCATACTAGCGAGGTCCTAGATCCTTTCCAGTGAGCCAACTACTCAGACAGCTAGAGCGACAATAACGCGACAGCTTGTCACAATTAATCTCAATACTGACAATGGCATGGTCAACATCTCACACAGCAACCTCGTTCTACCTCTTATTCTGCCACCTGACAGAAAATTTAATGAGGATTGAGAACCTTAAGGTCTAAAGCAAATTCTAAAGTTGTCATCTTTGGGTTTTCTGCTTGTATCATTAGGCTAGACATTAAGAAGATGAGCCAACCTGCTTGTTTTGGAACAGCGCTCCAGCAGCCATGGCCGTGCTTGGAGATGTATCGCACGAGCTTTTCATCTTCCTCTGGAGACCACAGACCTTTCTTGAGTTTCTGTTTATGGGAACACGAATGGCGGCCCATCACTAGTGCAGATGGTGCTGCAAGAGCACCAAATTTTCAATGCTGCAGCCTCGGTGTTGCAGAAAAATCTATACCAGAGAACTTTACAGCTTGTACATCATCAAAGCGCCAATTTGGTAACATCTGTTCCAGTTTGGTTAATTCCATTCACTCCGTCAGCAGTAGTTGCGGGCACTTGGACAGTTCCTTTTGCATTTCCGCTACTGAAATTTCGCAAACGAGAAAAATTTTCGCTCACAGGAGCTCGACAAGGAGATATTCTTCTCTATTGAAACTGTTGTAAAATCATCAACCCGGGGCAATTCGTACGCACAATTCCTTGTAATATGTTCCGACCATAACAGATACCGAATTTTTTACGTAAAAATGCTGCTTTTGTGAGGTGAAGGGACGTCGTAGTGGCCTAGACACCATGCTTGAGCGATGTTTGTTGAATTGATGGGCAGCTTCACAACCAAAAATCGCTCCAATTTGTGTCACGTGACCCCATTCGGATACAACGTTCTCAATCGACGTATGGAACGCTGATGCACTTGTCAGCTGTAAAATTAGCACAAGTTGCCTGTTGGAGGACCTTTCAATTGATAGCATGAGCCCCTGTATCTACATTCCCAAGGAGGCAATGTATAGCTTCCTCGTTGCTAAAGATTGATCACATGGATGTGACAACATATAGACAGTCCCTCCCAGACAGATTTCCTAGCGAATGCAGGGTCTTCGAGGGAACCTTGTCTCACCTGAATCTTTTGACTAGCCCAACAGAAAATATTTTACCACCGTGTGAAGCAGGAATTCAGCATTCTGTCCAAACAGATTAGAATGATTATCGCAGACAACAAGACACCTAAGATGCATATGCGAAGGTCAGGTTGTAAACTCATCAGGGATGTGTACATCTCAGCTCCAACCTACTACCGTGGTTGCAGAATCTCACATGTCCACAACAAACTGTCGACTAACTCACCACGTGCCTTGCAGCGGCCCGAGGATAAGAAAATATACCACTGTAGCTGAGTTTTCAACGACTAAATAAGTTTACCTAAAACTGGACCTAAGGATCGAGCTCTATCCCCACTTCCGTATGGACCATGCCCAGTTAATCGCGTCTCCGATATTCAATCACTTCCAGTGAGTTCGCTGCTCCAGCTTCTGAAACAAATGCATGAAATTGAAGATATGATCAGAACAACTGAATCCTACAGCTAGTACTGAAGCTGTAATTGCAGGAAAAATGAAACAAGTACTAGGAAAAGCCATGAAACTTCGTTTTTAAGCTATGGGGCAGCTTGCAATGCAGAAAGATTGACATTTCCGACCAAGGAACAGCTCTAGCAGCAAGCTTATCGTGTGCATGCAATTTACCGACGAGATTCCGACAATCCAATCAGAATGGGAACTCGGTCTTTTTTGTCAGAATCTAACACGCAATTGCTGAGGCCTTGGGCACGGGATTCAACGAGCACCATAGATTTCTCAACACGGGTCTACAATCTGTTACGTCAAGGAGGATAATGCATAATATTTTTATCTAGCGACCAAAAAAACCAAGTGCATATGCCGTTCCTTACAACGTCGAGGCAAATCGATTGTCTCGCCTCCCCTACAACCCTTTCATCTTAACCCCCGAGATGCTCCATTTAGGCTCACTGAGGCTTCTAGATCCTTGTGCACAGCAAGATAAGATTAAGAAATGGTTTGGTCGAGTGGGCCTATGGGGAAGTGTGTTACACACCCTTCTTTGTGACAAGAGTTGAAAACACTGCCGTCATCAAAAGGCAGTGTTCACTCAATTTTCAACTTTTGCATATAACTCTCGCTGGTGGGTCCGCACGTGAAATATCCGCGTCAGTTAATTGGAGAACTTCACCACGATTTAATGCAGGATCTGATCACTACAATAATTAACCCGACCCACTCTACTTCAATCACTCGAGCTAATCAGTAAACTACGAAGGAAAGGTCGTTTCAATCCAATCAGCACAAAGGAAGGTTAAGTCAAACCGCATTTTCTTTAAAAAAATAAAAACCTCCGAGGACTTCCGGTTAGTTATACTGCGCAAGTGTGGCACAAGCTGGATACCACACCCTGCACGAAAACAGCGCCGCTGTGCCGGAGTTACTCGACAACAGTCACGGTTTAGTAACTGACTTTTGTGCAGCTCGCGCAGTTGTCATCAGCACTGGATTTGCACTACAATCTATCAGCTGCGACACCTTACGACGTCTGCATTATTTGTGGACAAACAAGTGTGCGATCGGAAGCAACACATCAGAAACAACCTACAAAGTGTTTTTTTAAAAAAACTAAAGATTATAATAATGGATGCCGACATCTCAGAGGGACCTTACTTCGAATCCTCCCACCAATCTAGCAGCCACTCTCAATTGGTCTCCTTCGTGACCGTCAACTTGCACGGTGACAATCCAGACGCTCCAGATCAACGTTTATGGAATCCGAAAGAGTCATCTCGACGCATCCTGAGGTCTTTTTAAGACTTGGAAACTAAAGGAAAACGTGCAGACCTCGGAATCTTAAACTCGGTTCCATCCAAGGCCAACTCTCTACTCTCACACCCCACCTCATCCCACCTCAGGACGCATGGAAGGAAGGAAGCTCGGCAAACAAAACGTCTACATGCCTCCCGACAAGTCGAACTGTCCGGCTAGCTATAGTGTCTGTCTGTCTTTCTGTCTGTCTGCACTTCACTGCAGTGCACTGCAAATAGTAACCCCCATACCACTACTACTACTCTTCTTCGTTCCCACCCAAGGCTAACGAAGCACAAGGAGTCCAATTCCACTTACAGGCTCCCTAATGGTTCACCATCATGGAGAAGCTTACATCTATGCGGCTATATACTAGCTCGAATGATTGCCTCGCTGCGGACACAACTCCCCCGCTGAGCAGGTAGTTAGAGACCTCATTCATGCCCCTCATAACCGTCCCAAAGGCCCGCATTAATCCCATACACACACACACCACTGCACTGCACTGACCTGATGCTTCCTTCATCACTGACGATGATTGACGCGTCTGTACGCTTAGCGCGATTGCCCGTTTGTACCCGCGCGCTACCGATCTGGGCTCTCATCTTAGAGTCAGCGCCGAAGGAGCCGGGCTTCGCTCCCTGGCTTGCCCCTTCTGTGCGAGAGCACCAATGGCGTGACGCTGTCCGCTGCCGACCGCTGGACGCGGCTCCTCGCCGCTCTCTAACTGGGTGTCGTGTCCGAAGGACGCCGTCCGAAACCCCGAAGTCTTCCGTCTAGCTTTACTGCTCTGACTAGTAACCATGTAAAAAAACCGAAATTAAAAATTAAATAAAAATCAAACCGGGAGAGAACCTATGCACTGTTCATTGGATGTTGGTTAGTTATAACTAGGGACCCTGAGACTACTGTCCTATTTGTGGATTCCCCAAACACAAATCAATGTTTGTGTTTTACTTGCTATAGAGAGACTGAGGGCTCTATCCTCTTGAAGTGTAAACTATTGTTGTGGAAAGCAGACAAGAGTTGAGATCTTTGTTGTGACCATTTAAGACAAGGATATGTAGAAAGTAATAGTGTTTTTTTAAAAAAAAACTGGGTGAGGACCTTGCCTTGACTGGAGTCAAAGGCACATGTAGTAGTACCCATGTGCTTCAATCGCAGCTATGGCACTTGGAAATTTAGATGGCTTTGTCAAAAATGTATGTCGATATTAATAAGAATATTACAAAAGCGATCACTATCAGTCATTGAATTTTTATCACTGTACTTGTAGTGCTATTCTCTCATAAGCTACTTTCTGACTGATCCTTGTTGTTTTGCGGCTGAGATACACAACAAACAGTACACAAATAAGTGTTTATATAAATAATAAAAAGAATGATTTGCCTTGGGGGTAAGAATGAAATAGATGAGATATGTCATTCTTTCTTTGAAGTAACATATAATTATTATGTATGAAGTGGATACAAAGGATTCCAAAGGGGGAGAAAAACTTTCTCTATTTGAGCCTTGCACTTGTCAATTTTGCTTTTTGTCATGTGGCTTTTTGTCATTGGGTGTGTAGAGTACCTTCTTGACACATCCTTGCATGGCCCCGTCTTTGTGACATTGGATGAAAAAGCTCCAAGCTGTCTTTTTGTGTTGCTTGTCTTGGTTTGCATTGTGTGTAGCCCTTCAAGTCAATTCAACTATCATTTATTTATTTATTTATTTATTTATTTTACCTGGGATTATGCTCAAATGTTTTTAACTTATCTTACACAAAAGGAGTCACAAGCAATAGTGTTCATAGTTATATGAATGATGATCATCTCGCAAAGAGGAGGGGGGGGGGGGCTTTGAGTTGTATCATGTTGTGACTCATAGCCATCATTTGAGGGCTAAAAGGATGCATTTAAACCATCCATCCACTGTCCATGTAGTCTCACTGTAAAATGACCTTCCACAATGGCTGCTTTGCATTGACAATGTCATGAATCATTGAGTTTTGTCAAAAAAAAATGAAAAATAAATAAATAAATAAATAATGTTAAATGACCATTAATGTGGGGGGGGGTGAAAAAAATAAATGAGTAAATAAATAAATAAATGTCATACAATAGATAAATACTGACCACTATATTTGTACAAGAAATAATGGTGGGTATTTTTGGGGGGAGAAACTGGAGAATAAGTGATGGATTGGAGTTTTCTCCATACATCTTGACAATGTAACTCATAAACAAATTATTATCAATTAAAAGTAGCTTGATATTATGATCCACCAGCATGAAGTTTCATCTGAAAAGTTTAAAAAAATCTTTGAACTTTTGGAGATTGTTGTTAAAAGAAGAAAAAAATTGAAATTAAAAAAAAAAAAATCTGATGGAGATGTATTGATCTCATGAATGACAACGTACATAGGAACATACAAGCACAGACTCACCTCAATGTTAAAAAAGAGCTTTAGCTCTTGAATTGTCAACAGAAGTGAACACAAAACAAAAATATGCATGAAATCCACTCAACACAATCAATGCACATCATTGGAACAGAGCTTCCTTAACTCCCACTTGTAGTCAAACCTATGATCATATTGACAAATTATTTGTTAAAAAAATATAAAAAATCCATGGTTATTACAAATAATCCCTTAATTGAAACCATGTATTCTCACAATCTTAATATAAATATAAATATAACACACTTGATTTCCAAATTGTTGTGTTTGACTTGGGTAAGTGGGTGGGCTGGGACCCAATCATGGAAAGTTGACTTAGCTTAAACTGAACCCTACGGACAACCAACATAATAATAATAATAGTAATAATAATCAGAATACTACTACTAATAATAAGAATATAACAAATTTCAATAATAAGAAGAGGGGTAAGGGAAGGAAGGGAAGGGTCCTCCTCCTTCACCTTATGTGGCCACATTGTCCTTCTCATAGCAAGTTCATTGTGAAGGAAGAAAAAACTCACAAGAGAGAGAGAGGGTCTATCTAGTACAACAACTGGAGTTCAACTTTCTTAAGCTTCTTCTTCACATCCCTTTAAGATTATTCACTGCTTATGTGAAAAAAAATTAATAACTATCAGTTGTGATTGCTTTTTGTACATATTACACACACATTCTGATGGAGGTTGTAAAACCCATAAGGGTACTACTCTCCCTCTCCCTTTGCTTGATTTTGTGTGACCTCACCTTCAAGCTAAGGCTGGCTGGGCCCCCTGGTTTTGGATGGATGAGGATGCCTCCTACCAGGGACGGATTCTGTTCACTTGGATGTGGGAAGAGCCACTCAAGTAGACCATAGCGGATGTTACATATTAAAAAATAAAAATAAAAATAAACCAAAAGATGACTATTCTAAAAAGAAACGAAATCAGTACACCAATCTATTTTAATTATTCGCTTCTCTCTTAAAGCCTTAGAAGTTTCGTCCCAATAAGGGGCTTATATAAAACCTAGTGGTAAGTTAACTTGATTTTTAGATACATATCGTTTTATTTTTTTTGTGTTCTTAGTTTTTTTTTATTTTATTTTTCATTTTTTTGTGTAAAAAAATCAAATTTTTACTAATTTTTTTTTAAATAATTATAAAAAAAGAAAGGATTTTTTATTTGATATTATTGAATGCTGAGGAAAACGACCAATAGAAAGAGGAAGTTATCTCTTGAAAAAAATTCATCAATGAGTTCATATCTTTAATATGATAATATCAATGCATTATTGAATATTATGATTATTATTTATTGTGAGTGAAAAACTTTTTAGATATTGACCTGATGTCTTTTCATTGAGCACGGTTTTATTGTAATTTTTCTTCGCATTCTTAAAAATACATTCATTCAGAATGAACAAAAATGTCACAACTACTTACAATAGCTTATTTGCAAAAACAAAGTCAAAATGCACACACATATAGATACTTAAAAGCTTGAGTAAACTCTACACTAAACCTTTAATCTAGAATAATTTATAGAAACATATACATAATTATTTTATGACATGTTGCACATAAAGTTATATATTTTTTTCCTATTTCTAAAACTGATGATTCAATCTTGATTAAAACGGTTTTTTTTATTAGAACATTTTAGTCTATTTTTTCAAAGGAAAAATTACATCAAAATTTTCATCCATGTATGTTCCAACAAAATAACAATAGCCTCTAAAGCACTTGAAGCATGTATCCAATAGTTTTTTCCGCTCTTTTTGTGTCCCCAATTCTAATCATATTCATTTCAAGTTACAATAAAATAAAATAAATCTTATTGCGCAATATCTACCTTAATTAAATGTAAATACTTTTCACATCTAATACTTACATTAAAATTCAACTACATTTACAAATGCTTAATCAGTAATGTGTAATTTCAGGTTTCAAAATGAATCTGATGTATATGTCACTACAATATAGTTCAGTAATTTATATTATTTTTTGAACTAATATATATATATATATATATATATATATAACTTCGCAATGAAGTTTGAAAATATTAAACCAAAAATCAAATTTAAAAACCACACTTAAGCTAATTAAATTGAATGTATTAACTTTTATATTAGAAAACTTCAAAAAATATCATTTATTACTTACAAAAAAAAATAACATCAATGAAAGCATTTAATATTTAAATGCTAGAAAATTATTAACATGCTTTTTAAATTTATATATTAAACTTTTGATACATAGAGGTTTTAAAGAACCAAAATAATTTCCAAAAATTTAAAATTAGACTAAAATGTTCTGTGTTTAATCTGAATTGAAAAGTAACATCATTAGTTTGGTTTCATTTTCAAAATCACCCATAATGCAAGACATGTATTACACACACGTCTTTTACAATATTCAATTCTCTTTTTTGTAAGAAAATAAGTCATTTCAAAAGAAACAAAGGAAGGAAGAAGTTTTCTATTTTCAAATATTTGCATGCTCAACAGCACAACACATTTGCTATATATGCACAATACAACATCTTTAACTGGCATAAGAATTGTGCATCAGAAATGATACAACCATTTATTTAAACACACACAAAAAAACATACATTTATTAAAACATTGCAGACAAAGTTGTGCTCAATGAAACATGTTTACATTGAACCCATCCATGTATGTAGAGCCAAATGTTGGGTGTATTGGAAAACAATAGAAAACAATAGGAAAAAATTAAAAATTAAAAATAAATAAATAAAAATACAATAGAGGTGCAATGCATGGAGAGTGGAGGGGAATAAGGGCATTTAGTAGGTGGTGCCCATAGCAAATGGCTTGGTGGTGCTCAGCGGCAGAATATTTGGGCAATCTCTCAATGAGTTTGGCATGGCCCTCATTCTCCCACCAACTAACTGTTTATATATCACACCAACACACACACACTCCCCCCCTCACCTCCCTAACCGCTCCTTAACCTTCATTTAGGGTTTAGGGTTTAAGGGGTCATGCCCCTAATTATGCACCTTGTCTCCAACATGGGCACAG